AAATTGAGTAATGTACAATTCTAAAATTTGAATTATAATCTACAGTTTGATGTCAAACTTATCAACATAAATTTATGAAAAGTAGTTCAATAAAATTTTGAATACGAGTCAACAAACTCAATGATATGGCCTTTCACCCATGACCTGTCTGGAAAGGATTAGTGGAGGTGTAAAATGAAAATACTCATGCAAGCATCTGAACAAAAAAAAAAACAGTTAAAAACAATTTATGGGCCCATTTAGGACATGGATACATTGGGCCCAATGGATAAGCTGTCCATGGTGCAAGAATATTTTTATTGATATTGAACAGAAAAAGTCCCTAAGTACAAAATATCTCATGTCAACAAAACAACTTTATTCTCATCTGTCCTTTTTAGAAAAAGTTTTTTATTTGCAATGAAATTTTTCAGTTAAGTCTTTTTTTTTTAAAGATGCGTGTTTGCTGAAGATACTAAGCAGTTCAAGTAAACAACTCTAACAAATTTCAAAGTATAGACTGTAGCATCTTTTTAAATGGAGTATTCATAAACACACACACACATATGCGCAAGTATGTTAAAATTTTTGTTTTATTAATGGATCACAGGGGTCTGTTTCAGTATGATTTGCTTCTGCAAATACATTTAATATTAAAATATGCATTTCATAAAGTTTTTATGCTGTGGAAGTGACAAAACACTCAACCAAAATCTTGTATTGTTAAAACATTCTGATTTCTGAAGAGTTGTAGCTTGACTTGTATACATTAACTATACAACTATAGTTTTAAGAATTTTCTGTGTATTTTCTCAGTATATTTAATACAAACCTTTTATTTCTCTTCCTTGTCTGCATTTTGTATTAAACTAGTTGTACAACATATACCACATTGACATCATTTATCTTTCTTCAGGCTTATACTAATACTCCACGATGAGACAGTATGGATGCATGATAGATAGGCATAGTGCTTAATGTTAATCTGTTATCATAAGGAACATGACAAATATTATTCCTCAATTCACTTCTACATATCACATTATCAAAAAAATTTGTTTCAGAAAGGACAAACTTGCAGATATACTTACTGACTCATAACTTGTTACTGTGTTGCTTGGACTTTAGTGAAGGAACAGAAACTAGCATCCTAAAAATTAGAATAAATGAACATCTTTAAATATTTTTAAAGAATGAAACTGAGGCCAGTATTATTGTAGATGCTAAAGTTAAACCAACAGTGATATTTTTTTAGCTTGTAAAGATATTTTTAACAAATTGATACTGTAAAAAAAGTTCAGAACATTTTAATAATTTGCTTAAAATGTAATACATTCTATATTTAAGCAAATACTTCCATGACTCTAACTTTATCACTGTTTTATAAACTTTCATTATCTTTTTTTATTTTTTGGTTTGTTTTTTGTCATTTACATATTTGCAATTTAGAGTGTGTAAAAGTGTTTCCAAAATTTCCATAAACATTCTGTAATTGTGCATGAATTGACTTGTGGTTGTACAATAGGAATCTTTGGGTCTTGTAAAAAGATTTAGTAGTGAAATAATTCAAGATCAGAAAATTATAAAGATTTTAAGTATTATTTAATACTCAGTTATGCCATTAAAAAGATAGTAAACTAACAGTGAAAAATCTAGACCCAAAATGCTTCAGTTTTTTTTAAAATGGTACCTGAATTTCCTTCATTGCAAAAGCATCCAAATTAAATGTTTTTGTTTGTTATTTTAGCCACCTGAATCAAGGTTAGAGGTTGGAAATATTATTGCTGATTGTTTACTATTAAGGTTGACAAAACCTGTTGAGCACATATTAATTATTACCAGTGTTTCTATTTGAAGTGAAATGCTTCATTTTTTATTTCATGCTTTTCTTCTAACCTTGATAATGGCAGGAAGATGCAAAATTATTTTACGATCCTGTCACTAAGGGTGATGTTTCATACTGTTCAATTTAAATAGTTTAAAGAAATTGGAAGTTTAACTTAAAGTTTAGACTTTGCCTTGAATAATATTACTGTTGAGGTTCCAAATCTAAAAATTTTTAATTTCTTATTTGCAAAAATTTCCCTCAACAAAGATTTTTTAAGTTCTCTTACTTTTGTTATTGGTCCCAAGCAACTTTTTAGATTGATCAGTCTAGAGCAGTATTTTTATAAATTTTATCCTTCCTACCTGTTACTTTGAAACTTGAAGGGATTGGAATGTATTATAAGCGTAACCAGTAATAGAAAACTGAAATTGAGCTAGACTTTCTTAATCTTTGATTACATAAAAACAATAAGTTTGATCTCGGAAGTGAAGTGAACAAACTAGGCTTAACACATTTAATACTTATTCATATTCTGACTTTTAAGCATGGTAGAAGTGTCAGCCTTGAGGATCCTTGAGGAAAAGTTTTAAACCATAGCAAATGCAACACTTGGACTGAAAAGTGGAAAACTTTGTGTAATGTATCATTAGCTATGTTAAAATATATTAGAAAGCTGTTGTATTGATAATTGCATCTTTTTTTATTTTTCAGTTATAATTAACAACTACAAAAGCATTTTGCGTTTTCCTCTCATGGTACAACTTTATGTGCAGCCTATCATGCTTTATACTGACAAGGAAAGTTTAAAGATACCTCTTTAAGTAATAAAATTTGTATCAAGTATTATTTTAACTTAAATGCAAAAATACATCAAAACATGCTGATAATGTACTCTCACTGTGTTGGTATAACTTGGTTATTGATGAAATGCTACTACATAGTGCTAAAGAACAATGAAACTATTTGGATGAATCATACTGTGATTTTACAGAATTTTGCTCTTATGTGAAACATAAAGGCAATCAGTTTCTAAACCCTACCTCAAAATATGCATGCATCACATAATGAAACATTCTCGATAGAGATTAAAAGCATCTTTTCATCGAAAGACTTCAGATCATAACTTTAGTAATTCACTGTTGTTGTTCATATAAACTTGTATTCTTTTACCACTTTCCTCTCTCTTTCTTAGCCTTGTTTTGCCCTATTAAGAATTTTGTTCAGAGCATGATTGTATTCAATTTTTCTTCCAAAGAAGATAGTATACTTTTGTTTAGTAATGTAGCCCAAATAAGTCTCATTTTGTTTAGCATTCAAACCCAATTAAAGACTGTGGTCAAAATTTACAATGCAAAAAAAAAGTTTAAACTTTGATTACATTTAGATAGTGGTGGATATTGAATGTGTCATAATTGTTAAAAATCAGTGGTAGTTTATTAACCAAAATGTCTGGAAAGAGCTCAAGCATAGATCTTTATTTCTAATGAAAAAGTAACAATCTGGTTTTGATGTACTTATATAATCTACACAGTCAAGAAGTTAAGTGCTTACTATATATCAGTGGTTCCCAAACATTTTCACTGATGACACCCTATCCCATTTACCTTGATTTGCATGATACCCCTGATGCTACATGCAATATTTTTTTTTATTATGTTCTTAATTATTCTTCATTTGGTGAAACTCGTGACACTCCAAGCAACTTATTGTGACACACAGCTTGGGAAACACTGCTATATAGGAATACTTTGCAACTATATTTTGATCTAAAGATTTAAAAACCAATAACTTAAGACTTGAGTGAAACATGTTATGAATATCACTCATTGGTTAGCAACCTTTTCCATTATTTAGTTAAGCACACATCTTTGAAGTATGTTAATTTTGTACATTGATTGATTACATCCTGCTCGTCATTGGTAAAGATTGGTTACCTCTTTAAATTTATTTTAAGAGACAATGTTGTCACTAAGATGCATCATAAACAGATGATATTTACTGTCTAGAGATGTCAGTCAACATTTTAAAGTTCAACCAAATTAATTATCTTTATTTGAAAGTTAGCAAGCTGTGTTCTGACAACTAGGGAAATGCTATTATTTATTTCATGTGGCACAGACATTCATTACCTATCTTTTGTATCATATACCACAAAATTTGGGTAGTAGATGTATGTATCAGTAAAGCTTACATGAACTGGTTGATGATGAGTTATGAAAACTATATTGATGAAACTATAATATATATCAGCATGTTCTTACATACATTCTGACTAAGTATATACTAATTTTTTATTTTGTATTTAAAAAATATCCAATCAGATCTGTATAGCAGCTCATCAGTAGATGTCATTTGTTGTATTGTCCTCTCAGTTGTGATACATGTTCTCATCAACAAGCAAATTGACATTATATATATGTGTCCAACATTGCTCTTTTTCTTGCACATGAAAGTCTTCATGTGAAATTTCCATTGGCTGTGTATGTGTGAAAGCTTCACTGATTGGGTTTGTCAGTGTGCGTCAATAAATGTGTGTGTGTGTGGTGAACAAATTACTTGTGCAAGTTATGGCATCTATAGTGTTGTGGATGAATGTACATTAAATAGAAAAAATTAAAAAACTTTATTGAGAAGTTCAGAACTTAATAATCTGATCTACATATATTAGGTCTGAATATCAAACTGCTGATGAAAGTTGAAGGAACTACAGTCTATCTTTAATTAGCATGGGTGTTAATGTTCAATCAGCTATAAAGATGCATTTAGTTATCTAACTATGCAATTAAGAGGGTGATTGGCATTATTTTATAATGGTGGGTCTTACTTGTCATAGATAACATGTTACATTATGTTACATGTTACATACATGAATTATTATTCTTTTGTGTGTGTGCAAAGTACTTAATTTGTTTGTTGTTTATTTGGTTTCAACATTATAAGTAAAAAGTAAATTTCAGAAAATGATTATGTTATTCAGTAAATAACTGTTAGATAATAGATATGTCTATATTAATAATTTATTTACACTTTTTATGGTTTTGTAGTGCATTATGATTTTTTTAATGAGGAGTTAATTATTTAGTTGGATAAGCATTTAATACAAAAAACATTCACACACCCATCTAGTATATCTGTATTATGTAGATAGTTAAACATATAAACTATGTATATTTAATTTGTAGTAAAAGGTCCAGCTAAGTTTATTTTTTAATGTAAAAATGATTGAATACTCAGTAAAATATATGTGTGATATGCACTTCAATGCCAAACTTGTATGTAATTTTGGAAATTTTTTTAATCCACAGTACTTGTAACTTTGCTATGTTCTAGTGGTCTGCAAGAGTATTATTTTTTAAATCTCAGTAATCCATTAACTTACAAAATATCATTTTTGAAGCAGCTTATTTTACTAGAAATTATACATAGTAGGACACACTGACTTCATATAGTTACTTCATTCTGGAATACCACACTCTACAAAATAGTTTTACAAAGTAGTGATTAACACATGGAACATCATATAACAGAAGTTACATTTTTCTAAAAGATAGGTTGTTTTCTTAATTATTACCAACTACAAAGATACAGTATAAAAACAATATGGTTGTTTCTCAAAATTATTCACAATTATTTGCTGAAAAGACAAATTAGTCACAAAATTAAGTAATCAAGTAATGTTTTATTTAGTAGTACATGTCTGTTATTCTTCTTCTGTGCATCTGCTTAATGCCAGCTCTGATAGCCTGTTGGTAATGATGCATAATCCCTTTCACAATTTTAGTATCACATAGCATCTGCAAGTAAATATTAATAGGTGTTGAATAACATAAAATTGTTAAAACTATAAGAAAAGCAGTCACTGAACTAATGAGGAAATTAAGTCAGTCAAGTTATTACAACTTCATTTTATCACAGTGTTCAAAAAAGATAGTTTTAGGAGAGGTAAGTCAGTAAATTCACTGGTTTTAATTAACCAGTTTTCATAACCGTATAAGAGATGGCCAAAATCCAAAATATCACAGATGGTTGAGCCCTGCCATAAACTACAAGTCTCTGAACCACACACTTTCCTTAACTTTGATTCCACCAGATAAAAGCCAGCCAGGTATATTTTTGATGCAAAAGGATATTAAGAAGCTACAAAAATAGAAAATTATAACTTGCAAGTTAAAATCCAGAGAGGTATAAAATATGTAGTTAAACATCCAGATATTGATATTTTTAAAGGAAAGGACATACAAACACCCAATACATTATGCTTGTATGATATGAAGAGTTAAACAGCCATTCAACTATTTGTTGTCTCTTATTAAACAATGTACTAAATATTGTTTTTCATATTTGTAACAATTTTTTGCTTATTACATGTATATGGCATGATTAATGTTTTATTTATGGTATTTTTGCTGTTGTCAAATTGCTTGCAAGTTTCTGTTTGGCTTGTTAAAAACTTGTAAATGCTAAAAGCATCTGATATATGATACTAACTTTAACCTATGTCTTTTGCTTGAGCTAAGCTATTTTCTTGTGTACTGCTTTAGCTAAATATGCTGATATGACTGACACTTTTAGGTATATGGCCATCAGAAGAGGTTTTAGCTTACTACTGTATGAAAAACAAAGAAGCTTTTGAGTAAGTATTTATAGATTATAACATTTTACTGTTACTATGCTTTATTGTTACAGCTTGGTTTACGAGGTTATGTGACTAGGTCTTTAACAAACTGTAGTAGAAGTAATTAGTTTGACCTACATTGTGTACTCCAGAAACAGTAGTAACAGAGACTGCTTCTACTAAATGTGGGTTTCTTTGCTATCTAAATCTGCACACTGATGATGATTGAGAAAGTTTTGATAACTGGAAAACACTATATTTAGAAACAAAGGCTGCATTTTAGAGCTTTATTAGTCTTTTTAAACAGGTAAGTAAATATTACTGACTTGACATTCTTCAGCTGAAAGTTTAATAAAGCAAAAGCATCTTGGCCAAGATTCTGAGATTTAACTTGTTGAATGTATCTTTGCACCATCACATTTGTCAGTACAAAGCACCACTGGTATCTTGTATTTTACCCTGAATTAATCCCTTGAGGGAACGATTAAGGTCTAACATTTGTTTTTAAGCTAACTTGTGGATAAAGCTTTTGCTATTCATATCTTAACTTATTTATATTCAAAGAATATTATTCTGTTGTTGCTATAAGTGCATAGTTATTCTTACTTTATTGGTTTTAGGTACATTTTAAAAAAGTAAATTCAAAATTTTTCAGGAGTAATCCTAAATGTGTTTTTTATTTGTTGTTGTTCCATAATTTTATTTCAGTTTCTGCTGATGTATGTTAAATGACTCTGCAGTGTGTTCTTTGTATTTCTGAAGCATATTCCAGTTGTCTGTTATGTTAGCAACTTAAAAATGTCTACTGATGTTCAGTAGACATTTTTAAATTTTATTATACAGCGCAGTTGTACCAACAAAAAAAGTTGACTTTTAATTTAGCTCCACAACTTACTGACTTGAAATTCCTTCAGCTGATAGTTCAATGATGTCATGAGCATGTTAACTTGTTGTTTAAGACTCATACCATATGTAAATTAATATGTAGAATTATAAACAGACTTTTCTCTACATTAAAATACTTTTATTGTGAGCTTTCAGCCCTTTTACCATAGCCTTCATTGGCCAACAGTGTGCATTATTGCTCAAAGAAGCCTCTGGGAAGAGGGCCAAAAGCTCTCAGTAAAAGTATTTTAACATAGAGAATAGTCTGTTTGTAATTCTACATAGCATCTTAACTTAATAGTTTCAAAACTGTTCAGTACACCTGAGATTCTAACTTAGTTTAATATCCCTTTATACTTTTTCCAGAACTGCACACTTGCACTGTTAATTTCACAGGCTTAGGATAACTCCACAGTTTTTACAGATTTTACTTAACCAAAGTTTTAAGACATGGCAGTAATGAAGGAACAAACAAATATCATATTGAAATATTCACTTATCTTTTATGAAAATCACCACTGCAGTATTTATTCTGATTTGTTAAAAGCCCTACCTGTAAACAAAGTTATGCATGAAACACTAAACCTTCTTATATATAATTAATATAAGTTTAGGCTATAGTGATCATTAATATAATATCCTGTCAGCATGTTAAATGTCAAAATTCCAGAATATGAAATCTAATCTCAGTCTATGTTAATTTATTACTCAAAGTGGGAAATATTCTTCTAATACTTGTCAAAAAGTAAGCCTAAGTAAAATGTAGGATACATTACCGTTATTCTAACATTTCAAAATCATCTTCATTGACACTTATATCATTGTTTACTTTGAAAACTAATCTCAGTTTAAACTAATTCAGCCTGTGCAACCATTGTTATTCAAACTGTTGTTTACCTGTTAGTGTTTTATTTACAATCATAAAACATGGTGTAAAAAGGTATTGGCAACCATTATAATCAAATTGGAAAATGAGACTGAAATTTGGTGTTGGGTAATTTATAAATTCCGAGGCGATAACTCAGCTCCACGCACAGATTAGTTATCTTTCACTTGAGCCTGCCTAAGAGATTTGCATGCCATTAGCCTTGAGACAACTCTCATCTAATTTCACATTTTAATGTGAACTACTCTGGTGCATGTAAAACAAAGCCCTCTCCCAGTAGGAGGGTGGCACAACCTTCATGTGCAGTAACTCCCCTTATGCACTTGCACTCCTGACAACTTAATTTTTCTCGTCTGTATTGAATTCAACTTGTTGGGGTATGCATTGTTAACAAAACTTTGATTTTCCTTTTCTTTGGCTTTTGTTTCAACAGCCTTAATATATTATTGTGAATTCTCAAATGACATTGATTTATGCTTAGTCTTGTGTGTGTGACATTGTTCAAACACAGGCCTTATTTCTACTATAGCTTCTGGAGGCTTGTTAACTGTTGGGGACATTGCAGCCATTGTTTAACATGTTGTAGATTACCACATGATTACTGGGCCCTCCTCCTATTCCATTGGCCAGAATTCTTTCTTCTTAATCGGGAACAATCTATTGGACTACCATTTAAACCTGATTTGCTTTACCATTCAAGAAACAACCTTAATTGTCCAATCTCTTTCTGGATTTCATTCTCAAGCATGTTCCTTATCTTTTGCCTATGTTATTTATTTTTTGTTTTTTTACTCCATGATCCACAGTTCTTGTCTTTCTCCCTTACTTTTTATTAGGATTTATACTGTTTTTTTTCTTTAATAGTTCATCTCTCACACCTAAATGGCTTCTGTCCTCATTATCTCCCAAGGATTTTCTTCTTTCTCAACTTTGCCCTTTACTTCTATTCCTTGTCTAAACCAATCAACCCTTAACATTCCCATTCCAGGTTCCAGGCTTCCTTTTTTTCTCGTTCCTCCCTCTACCATAAGTGTACTTCATTGCTTTTCTTGTCAATGACTATCAAACACATACAACCATGTGGATACCCATTTCTTCTCCCGTTGTTGGCCTCATTTTCTGCCATCAGTCATTTATCATTTTTCCACCTTGGTCTCTATTTTTGCTTCACTTCCCACTTCCTTTTCTCCTTCCAACCTGGTCTGTGCTTGGCCATGGTCGATGTGTTGGACACCTTCCTACACATCACTTTCAACTTGTTCTTCATTTGTCTTCTAAATTTCATCCTTCATTTTCCCATTTCTTGTTCTTCCCTTTTACTTAACATCAGCCCCTTTTGTATTCGTTGATATCATGAGGGCTTTCATTGCCATATTTATGGACAGAGGCTGGTGTTCTTTCTTTTTGACAGTTGACTTCTGTTGGCCCATTCTCAGATAATTTCCTCTTTTCACACCTTCTTCTTTCACAGGAGGCTACTTGGTTGGGGGTTAGGGACTTATCCTGAGATCTAAGCCCTTTCTCACACCCACTCAATACTACTACATCTCTTGTCTCATTCAAGTTAAATTTTCTCCTCTTTGCCTTCAAGCTATGTTATATCTGTCCAGATTTTTCACTTCTTATTCCCTTCCTGCACGAGATTTCTTTCATTTTTTGGGACTGACTTTCCTGGAACACTTCATTCCTTTGGGGCATGCACACATGTGCTTCATAAAGGGAACCTTATAAATTTATTGGTTTCTTTCTTGTGTTCCATTGTCCTTGTTTGTGAACTTCTCCTCTCCTTGAGGAATTGTCATGGCAATTGGACTGTACCTATACTACTTCTGGTATTCCCTTACCACCTCTCAAACCACATCTGTCTCTTCACCAATGATTCCCTCTCTGATTGAGGCACATTTCTGAACAAGGGCAGGATTTCTGGCATTTCAACACAGGACAAACATTCACTCTACATCAACATGCTGTACCTTCTCACTGTTCACCAGGCATGTTCCCATTCCTGCCCCCTACTTCACTTGGATAACTTAGTCATGTTTCACGCAGTTCCATGGTTGTTTCTTGCATCTACCTTCTGAGAGGCACCCGTTCCAGGACCCTTTGCTTTCAGGCATTCAACATACACTTCTGGGCCCATTCACATCAGGTTTAACTTATTACCTGTAATTTGCCAGGACCTAAGAATTAGGTGGCAGGCATTCTCTCTCTCTCTCAGCCAGTCTGCACTCTACCAATGGAATGGTATGTCCAACCCCAGGTCTTTTATGAGGTTTGCTCTTGGATGGGCAAAGCCCCCCATTTGACACTCTTCTCTGCTGTGGGATTCCTTTCTTCTGATCCACTGTTACTCATCTTTTGGCTCTGGCTGTTGATTTTCTCAGCCATGCCTGGTCTCACCTCTTTTGTATGTCTATTCCCCTATTTGTCTCCTCCCTTGGACCCTCACCTTCATATGCATCCTATGGGGCACCTCCTTGGCCAGCTCAGCCTTGGTTTCCTCTACTTCTTCACTTATCAGTCACCCTCCCCTTCCTCTACTCAATTTTCCCTTTCTCTTGCTTCACTCTCACATGTCTCTTTTTTTTCTTTTTTTTTGTCCCATCATGAGCTATCTTCCCTCCATCTTTATGTATGGAATTTTCCAATCTGTTGCTCTGTCAGGCAGGAATGCCAAACATGTAACATTCTTCTTGTCACATACCTGTCTCTTTTCTACTGCATTTGTCTGTCAATCAAAGTGGCAGGTCTTTAATCATTGGTCTATCTGCCACTTCTTTGCTCCTGGCTGCCCTACTTTGAACCATATTTCTGACTTTATACCTGGCTGTTTATCCATGATTTTTCAGTCTCTGCCTTTGCTGGTTATTGGGTGGATTTGCTCATGAGATTTTGCCTTTCCCAGTACCACAAAGTGTTCGTCTCCTGTATTCCCCACTCTGTTATTCTCCTTCATTCTTCTCTGATCTTCTTGCCTAAACTCCCATACCTGACTAACACCTTAGTAAGAATTTGAATGTTTTCATGCTTGCCCCACTCAAGTCATTGGCTTCTTCCCTTTATACTGTTATTCTCTCCAGATTTGTTTCCTCCTCTTTCTCACCTATAATTACTATTATTCCATTGCCTAGGCAATCTATGCTTCTCACACAATCTTCCATCACACTTTCATACTTTTCCTTCTTAAGACATCATCCATCATAGAAAGGCAACCATACTTTCTCTTCTATCTCCCTTCCTTTTGTCT